GTGGCAGATGCTGGCGCGTTCGTGCTCGGCCCGGGGAGAGCGGGCGTGCCCTGGGCTCGCTGCTGCCGGCCCCGCGACGTCTCCTGCCCTCCGAAAAGCCCCTGTAGTGACTTGAGGAAGGAGCCGGGTGTTCAGCTCCCATCTCGCTCCCGCGGATAAGCCCGGTGGGAGCTGTGCGCTTCGCGGTCTCTGAACCTAACCCTCGGCTGTACTCTGCTACTTGGCCTTTTTGTGGACAAAGTGTCGTTTGGGAAGGTGCGTGGGGGCCCTTTCCCTTAGCCTGTGCTGGACTCCGCTACTTTGTGCACAGCTTGAATGTGTTTACCGGAGCCTGCCCGCAGAAGGCTAGTGCCAGTTTGGTGGATGCTTATTTCTTAAATTAAGGTGAATGTTAAATGTAAACGCATGGTTTGGTTTGGCTTAATACTGCAAAAAATAAATAGTAAACAACTAAATAGCCTATGGTCAAAATGAGATGGACTTGTATACTTGCACTAATGTGACTTAATGTGTTTAATGGCCAGTCCCACCAACAGTGGGTTAAAATCAGTAGTGTAGTTTTCAAGGATTCATGATGATGGTACTGGTATAGGGAGCACAGCCACAGCTGTTGAGCAAGCTGTAGGAGAGTCAGGCAGAAGTGCTTTTTAGTTTTGGTTGGTGGTTTTTTTTTTAATCATTAAAATGGAATGTTAAAAATACTGTCGTGCTCTAGAAAAGGCTAAAAAGTGTGCTCTGCTAGTGCTTGAGTAAAGTAACTTCAGGCTTGAGATGAGCAAGAGGTATTGTGATTTGTAGTACAGGACAATGATGACGCATGTAATCACACAGGAAAACAGGTAAGCAGATTGTGATGATTAGTTAATATAGGTCTCTTGTTCTTCAGGTGAAGCAAATTGAAAAACGAGACTCTGTTTTAACATCAAAAAACCAGATTGACAGGCTGACCCGACCTGGATCTTCCTATTTCAACTTGAATCCTTTTGAGGTTAGTTTGAACATTTTATCCTCCTTTCTGACTTGGTATACCAACTTCCAGCTTTACTGGGTATTAACAAAGAAAAAAGTTCTCTAGATATAGATTAATGCACAGGAAGTTTACAGAAGACAGAGGGTAGTGTATATGTCCTCGCTGTCTTTTTCACTGTTTTATGGCAGGCACAAACTATTATTTTTTTCACACATCCCGTGTGCAACAGTACTGAAAGATTTGGCAGATTAATGCTAGGTACTTACTGAATGAGAGCGTAACAGCTACAAGTAGCATTTTTGTCAGGTTCTGTTCTGAGCACTCGACTCAGCATTTCTGTGTAGATCTTAGTACTCGATTTGGAGAGTGAATTAAGAAAGCTGTTCAGAAGTAGACTGTAGCTTTCCTGTGAGAAAGAATTTTTTATTTATGATTCTTAGTGTCAGACCAGTGTGTACCTGCATAGAGTAGGCACACTTGTTGCTTAGGGCTTCTGTTCAGTAAATTAGCTCACAAAAATGCTCCTAAACTCTGCCACATCTCTGAAGATTGGTACGTATACAAGTGGGCTCATTCGTGGAAACCAAACAGTAAAATTCTTCTGTCTTCATCCAAAATGATAAAATGAATAAATTCTTAAAAACTAGTGTGTTTCCTGCCCAAAGTTCTCACTTATGAGTGATCCAGCAGTGTCCCAAAGCCACCTTGTGCTTTCATTTCTGCCAAACTAAGCATTGCTACAGAACTGGTTGAAGATTGAGACTGATTATGGCTGTTTAGGAATGGCAGCTGTCCTCATGAGACTTGAGGGTGGAAAGGACACTGGCATAGTCAGAAGAATCAAGCATTGATAAAAGCAGAATGTCCCAAACACAGTGTCTCTTAAAATGTTTCTATTTTACTAGGTGAAAATTCATGTCCTGAAACAGCTACCTGATGTGAGGAGCTTTCTGGCCTTGTGTCTGTATGCCTGTGAAACAAGTGTTTAGAGCTTGCTGCCAGGACCCTGAAACATGTCGAGTATCATCGAGCTTGCTCTGGTCTCATGCTCTCTTTCAGGTACTGCAGATGGATCCTGAAGCCACAGATGAAGAGATAAAGAAAAGATTCCGGCAGGTATTTGGCATTTGCACCTGAAGGCTCTGGAAGGAAACTAGAAGCTCAGTAGAGGTTGTGCAGCTGTGCCAGAGTACAAAAAAAAAAAATATGGTGGTAAAGCTGTATCTGGATAGAGGAGTAGCCACTTTGGGAAGAAATGCATAGAACAATCTTTGTATCAGCAGGAGGAAGCTGCAGAAGCATTCCCGGTCTGTGCATAGTGTGCTTCTTTGCCTGCAAAGTGTGTGATGGGGCTATTGCAAACTGGTATGCCCGTGTGTAATCAGCTTATGCAACTTTAGCTCCAAATAGTCTCGGGGTATTTTGACCTTCCATTTCCATCCTCTCACAAAAATCTCTGAAATATTCTTAATCTTTTACAATGATCTTGATAGCAAGATCCTTTCTCTTGCAGTTGTCAATACTGGTGCATCCAGACAAAAATCAAGATGATGCAGATAGAGCCCAGAAGGCGTTTGAAGGTAATTGTTCTCATGCTTTCCCGGGGCTGGTGTATGATAGTAGTTGAGCTGCTGGTTTTCTGTACCTGGTTTAAATGTTTATTAGGGATGGAGGCCTCACGGACAGACAGAATTGATGTAGAGGCACTTTAGCTGAGGGAGGTGCATGGGGTGGTGTGTCAGCAGGGAGTGCGAGGGAGGTTCGTGGGGTGCCGTTTTCGCCGGGAGTGCGGTATTCCCGAGGGACGTGCGTAGGGTGGCGTTTCACTAGGTGGCGGTATTCGCATTGCCAGTTTGCAGCAGGGACAAACAAGCCCGTGGGGTTTTTGAGGTTGTTCAAGAAAAACTTCACGGGTTAGTTTTTATTCAAAGACCATATGCAAGAAGTAATACGGTGGTTATAGATGTATGCTTGGCGTTATGGTGAGGTGTTACGCACCTCAAACTTACCTCATGCCCCATAACTAAATCGCTTGGTAGGACTGACACTTTCACCCTAACTCCAAAAGGTGTCTGACAGTCTCTGCCATCGCTGTACCCCACATCTCATTTGACTAATCATGATATCACTTTCCTAGTAATACATCTATTTAATGAGCAAACAAACAAAACCCTAACAAACACCACCATGTCCACTCCCCCAAATTCTAGGAAATAAAATTTGTATGATCAACAAGTGGCAGTCTTGTGGTGCCGTGTGAATGTGACTACTGGTGGTATTAATGTTGATGCTTTTTGTTAGCTGTAGATAAAGCGTACAAGTTGCTCCTAGATCAAGAGCAAAAGAAGAGGGCCTTGGATGTGATACAGGCAGGAAAAGAATATGTGGAACACACTGTAAGTATCCCATAAGAATGTACAGGAGTGGGGGGTGAGTGCCAATCAGTCCTTTGTAGTTTTCTTTTTGGTACACCTGATGTATGTTTTGGTCATTAAAAGGTGAGCTGAGCAGACCTCATAATGAAGCTGTGGAAGTGTACTCTGTGCTCTTCGCGGCATGAACAAATGTGCTTTGTCCAAGGCTGCTGTTGAGCTCAGTGCAAGATAATTTAGTGAAATTCAGTACGTGAAATAATTAGGTCAGACCACATGATCTGACCTAAATTTTTTTTTTCCAAGTCTGTGAATGAATGATGCAGTTCAGATGTGTGTGGGTGGAAGAAAATAGGTGGTGACAGCAGGAGACTGGGAAGTTTGAGGGGAAAATGACCTATAGGATAAGAAGAGGAGATTGGATTGCAATGGCCAAGAGTTAATTGAGTAATGTGGGTGGACTAAAACACAACAAGCCTGAGAAAGCAGATGATATGGGAGAACTTGTATACTCTAAAGCAAGAAGTCATTTATGTTCTGCTTGTTGTTGTTAGTCTTCTGAATATTGCAAAGCAAAATAAACTTCCTGCTGGTTTGGATGGTGTATATTGGATATGAATATATCTTAAGCAAACAAAAACCCAACATTTTGGATTGTGTTGAGTGAATAGTATCTAACATCGTATTTTTAATTACTAAAGTTCATGTGATAGGGGTCTGTATGTGTTTATTTGGACCTTGGTCCAGGAGGTTTTGGTCTAAAATAAAACATCAACCCAAATCAAAAACTTACTGTCATCCAGAGTTCTTCCCACACAGTCGAGTAGGAATGCAGAACTACTTGGATACAATTATGAAAGCCCTGTAAAACTTTCTAGGCTCTTATTTTTGTTCTTAATCTTTAGGTGAAGGAAAAAAAGAAACAGTTGAAGAAGGATGGAAAACCTCCCATTGTAGAGGAGGATGATCCTGAAGTTGTGAGTCACATACTGTTCACAGAAATTGGGGAGTACAACATGTGTTTTGAGGAATTAGGAGTCAAAACCAGTATGGAAGTATTTATTAGACTTGTTAGTGTTGTAAATCCTTGTTCTTACTGAAGAACGAATTCTGATAAGCCACTGTAGAGTACTGTGTGTTGGGTAACATCCATAGAAATAGTTTAACTGTAGTGTAAAGAGTAGATGTATCACAAGATTACATAGCTGTTTTGGCTGTTTCTTCCATGTAGCACTTGAGGATAGATGTGCTGTTCTGCAGCAAATCACTTTTAATTAGAAAGGCATGACATATGTTAATTCTTACCTGGTTTCTAGTCTGAAAAAGTCAGGTGATATTAGAGGCTTTAATGGAATGATAGATGATTATCAAAGACTGACATCATTAGTCTTAACTGTTGTTATCTTTTTTTCCCCCTATAAAGTGATTTTTTCCTCTTTGATATCACCACAGTAACCCCATCACCATCTTATTTTCCATTGATTTTCAGAAATCTCTTGCTGTTCTTTAATAATGAAGTTTGTTTCAAGTATGCTGATATTTCCTTCTGGAAAGCCAAGGCTAGATTTTTACAACACATCAAGATTATCTGCTGGGAAATAATTATCTAAAGAGTGAATGTTTTGCCCTTTTATTGTCAAGTGTAACATTGCAAGACTTAGAGGAATAAGAAAGCTTGAACAGTTCTGTTTAGGCACAGCTTCATGATACAGACAAAAATTACACTAATATGAGGCTACTTAGTATTTTTTTTCCTGGTGTCAGGGCCAGACTTGAATCAGCTTTGGTTTATACCTTTTCACATGCCACTGCCACTGCCTGCTGTCAAGGCAAGATAGGGGGTTATGTGGGCATGCATATGCTTCACGTTCTTTTTAAGGTTCTTACATTCTTATGTAAAGCAGACTTACCTAACTGTGTTAATAGGCATTATTGTAAGACTGGATTTGTGTTTTACAGTTCAAACAAGCTGTATACAAACAGACAATGAAGCTCTTTGCTGAACTGGAAATTAAGAGAAAAGAAAGAGAAGCAAAAGAAATGCATGAAAGGTATGAGCAGCATTCTGCTTGTGCGGTTCAGGTTCTTCCTCAGGGAAGATAAGGAATCATAGAGTCTTAGAAAAGTCTGTTGGAATGGGCCTCTGGAGGTCATCTGGTCCAACTTCCTACTGAAAGCAGGGCCTTGGATTAAATTACCAATTTGATTCCTGTCAAACTGACTTCCAGTGATGTATATTCCACCACTTCTCTGGGCAACCTGTGGGTTGTAGAGCTATGTGCTTAAGAAATGCAAGTGGAAATCTTGCCCTCCTGTATTTAAGACATTGTTATATTTGGTATGCATCTATACTGTTAAGTATATACATGGAGGCCAGGCAAGACAGTGAAATGGTGACACATTTTTGCATATTGTTAGGATGCAAAGATTTGATTTTTAATTTTAATTAAGTGCCAGAAATACCCTGTGGCACGTGTGATCCTGAACTCTTCTAGGTGTTTTGATCACATTTCCTGGGCTCTCACTGTGGATGCACTTCATGGAGTGGGGTTTCTGTGCTGGTCAGTGAAGTCAGTCTGGGAGAGATTTGCAGGGCACTGCTTTTGATTACAGATGAAAATTAGGTGGGGGGGGATTACTTCTTATCTTGCATGCTGAAGTGTGTATTAACTTCTCTAAGTATGTACTCTCAACAGTTTTAGAGACTTATCACTAGAGTTATGGAGTCCAACTTGTTTTGTTGAGCAAGAGAAGCTGACTCATTAATTAAGTGCATGCATGCTGTTAGTAGTGCCAGACCATATTCTCTGCTTGCTGCTATTCCAGATTTGAAATGAAATTCTATTTGCTGTGCTGTCTTAGATGTGTGTATTTATCTCTTCTGATAAGCACTTTAGTCTTCCAAGAAATCAGAAGAGCTTTCTGAGATACTTTGAAAGTAGATGCTTGTGGGCTCATAATTTCTTTGTGACTTCCCTTTCAGGAAGCGGCAGAGGGAAGAGGAGATTGAGGCACAAGAGAAAGCAAAACGAGAGAGAGAATGGCAGAAAAACTTTGAGGTAATCAGCAGCTTAATTTACAGGATGGACCTCAGCAATTCTTGGCCATGCTGCAGGGAATGCCCCTAGAGAGACCTTTGGTCTGCCAGTGCTATAATTTAAGTAGCCGCTCAGATAAAGGTTTGGCACAAGCTTGGCTTTTGTCCTTGTGTGGGGAGAAGAGCCCACCAGTAGGGCTGTGGTATCACCTTTCCTGAAACAGGTCTGGTAAATTAAGGTAGAGTATTTCTCAGCTTTTTCAGCAGTTCATTCTCATCCCTAGTCAGAAATTTAAATTACTGCGTAGCCCAGGTCACTGGTGACCAGTAAAAGTCTGGCAGCTGTTCAGCCACTAGTGTGGGCCATTGTTGATACTTTTTAGTCTGGTTGCTAACACAGAGTCTGTATCTCCTGTGAATATCAGCGACCTCAATGACGGTCACTTCTTTCGACCCTTCCATCCTGTATTCAGGGTTTAGGGGTATCAGAAATAGCATTTTGGTTGTTGTGCTGCTATTCTAGGGGTCAAACCTGCCCATCAAGATATTTGATCTAGCCTGTTATTCTTCCCTCATTATACACCAGAGGTGAAGTCTTGTGACATGGCTGGTGGTGGGCAGGAAAGAAGTCAGTAACAGTGTGCAGGACCTCATGAAAATAGGAGATAGATTGTTAATTTCATCCAAAGCTGGATCCCAGTCTGTGTTCAAGAGGACTTTAAAAAAGAGGGTATCTGCAAGAGAAGTGTATGAGCTGGACTGGCATCCTGTGAAAAGTGAACAATTAGAATGTTTCTGGAGTCTCAGCTGGGAAGAGTTTGTGTTCATGTGCTATATAATGTGGATATATATGGAAGCTGGATATTCTAGAAAGCTTGTGTAAAGCTGCTGTGTTAAGCACTAGGGGTTTTGTGTGTAACTCCAGAGAGATTTAGTATGTCACTGGCTTTACTGCTGGCATAAGTTCTGTGCTGTCATGCTAGAATGGCCACAGATGTTGGGTGTCATTGCTGTGGGCCTGCAGTAAAGCACAGCAGCTGAGGAAATGGAAGAAAGTATTACAAGCAAATGATGATGGACCAGACAAGGGAGCTGTAGAACTGTTGATATTGCAGCACTGAGTACCTGCATGTCCTCAGTCACTTCCATACAGCTGAACCTCTGCAGTTGCAGTTGTCTTCTCCAGCCTTGCTGGTGACCATTTAATCCATGTGTAAAGACAGTATCAAAGCTAGGTGTTAATGTCCGAGATGGGTCACTGGAATACACATGAGTAAGAAGCTTATTTCTGCTAATGTCAGTCACTGGGAGAGAGTGATTGGAGGCAAAATAACACATGAATTCTTGGCAGCTTTTGTATTTGTACTAACTCAGTGGCTTCCTTTAAAATAAATCTGAAAGGATTATGTGTGTTGCTGCTTTGAATGATATTTAAACCATAAAGAAAAAAAAATCTTAAGTTGATAATCTGCAGTTGTGGTTCTGTCTCAGTTTAAAAACAAAACCAAACAAACCCAACGCAAAAATCACAACTTTTAAAGGTGCTTGCATTGTACTTCTCTATTGCTCTTCTGGAGACTTTTTACTCCGGATGATTCCAACCCTTGTCTGCATACTGCATCTTAGTTATGCTTCTGTCTCTTTACCCTAAAGAACTGTATGTTTTGTCCTTCATGTATGTTCTGTGGTATTTCTGAATGCTCAGAAATATCTGTGGTTCCTGCTGTTTGTAGAAGCTATTCATAGGCTGCATTCAGAGCTGACTTACATCTTGATGTATTTTAGAAGGAGGAGGCTTCTGCTTTCTCCCAGCCCACCCTCAAAATTCACTTTCTTAGTAATTTCAAGAATAGCTTCCACCGACAAACTATAAGAAACAAGAAGGTTAGAACATAAGTTACCATAAGGCCTTATCTCTAGCAAAGGTGTGATCACAGAATGGTTGAGGTTGAACAGGACCTCTGGTGTCCCAACTGGCCCAACCCTTCCTGCTCAAGCAGGGCCACCTAGAGCCAGTTGCCCTCTGGCTCTTAAATATCCTTGGTAATGTAGACTCTGCAACCTCTCTGGCCAACCTGTTCCATTTCTGGGTCAGACTCAAAAACATTTCCAGATGTTAGGCGGAGCTTCATGTGTTGCATTTTGTGCCCATGGCCTCTGGTCCTGGCACTGGACATCACCAGGAAGAGCCTGGCCCAGTCGACTTTCTACCATCCTTCAAGTACTTGTACACATTGATGAGATCCCCCTAAGCCTTGTCTTCTCCAGGCTGAACAGTCCCAATTCTCTCAGCCTTTTCTCATATGAGAGATGCTCCCATCCTTTAATCCATGGCCTCTGGTCCTGGCACTGGACATCACCAGGAAGAGCCTGGCCCAGTCGACTTTCTACCATCCTTCAAGTACTTGTACACATTGATGAGATCCCCCTAAGCCTTGTCTTCTCCAGGCTGAACAGTCCCAATTCTCTCAGCCTTTTCTCATATGAGAGATGCTCCCATCCTTTAATCATCTTCGTGGCCCTTCATTGGACTCTCTCCAGCATGTCCATGTCTCTCTTGTTCTGAGGAGCCCAGCACTGGACAAAGCACACCAGGGGTGGCCTCACCAGTGCTGAGCAGAGGGGAAGGATCACCTCCCTCAACCTGCTGGCGATACTTTGCCTAATGCAGCCCAGCACACCATTTGCCTTCAAGGGCACGTTGCTGGCTTGTGTTCAACCTCGTGTCCCCCAGGACTCCGAGGCCCTTTTCTCCCGAGCTGCTTTCCAGCCAGACAGCCCCCAGCATGTGCTGGTGCCAGGGTTTGTTCCTCCCCAGGGGCAGGACTTTGCACTTCTCCTTGTTGAACTGCATGACGTCCCTGTCAGCCCGTTCCTCCAGCCGGCCGAGGTCCCTCTGGATGGCAGCACAGCCCTCTGGCCTGTTGGCCTCTCCTCCCAATTTTGTCATCTGCAACCTTGCTGGGGGTGGGCTCTGCCCCATCATCCAGATCACTGCTAGTGCCTGGCCTTCCCCCATCCTGCCATGGGGAAGGAGGGGAGTGAAGACGACAGCTATTGTAACTAAAGCCTATGTGCATAACCAGTATTGCAGGCATAGCTGTGGTCAGATGGGCCTTGAGTCTATGGATCCCACACTGTGAGGTGGGTCATCCCTGGATTTGTTCTTACCTATTCTGAAACCTTCAGCCTGTAGGGATCATAGGTTGGCGTTGTGGTGAGTCTTTTTCTTCTCTGGGGGGTCATGGGGGACGGTGCGGATTCTGCTGCTCTCCAGGTAGGCCAGGGAGAGGAGAAAACAGGAGTGCAAGAGACCTGTCCTCATTGTGTCTTTGTGATGAAGCTTGGGGGTAGAAGCATGAGAGAAGGCAGCAGTACGTTTCCCTTCTCTCTTCTCCCTGCCTCCAAGCTGCAGCACAAGGAGAGCTTCCTCAAGGAATTGAGACAGTAAGCAAATGGCACATTCTGGGCTGACCGAACAGAACTTGTTTCCCAGAATATGGAGAAAGCCAAGGTGCCAAATGATTTTTTTGTCTCGGTCTTCACTGTCAAGGGCACAAGCCATACCCCCAGG